GTGGGAGGAAGCCAGAGTACCCGGCGAGAACCCACACAAACAAACCCAGTAGCAATGCGAACCACAGCGTCACAGAGCTGCCCATGTTTTAGGAGTAAAACTTTCCAAATCTCAGACTAGTTTGTCCAAATTTCCATTTAAATGCATAGCAAATTAGTTAATAGACACTCACCTAACGTCTTTCATAGATTATTGCTGAAGAACCAGTTGACATTTGTTGTCTTGGCTGATAACGTCACATTAACGGACTGAACAGAGAGGCGGTTCAAAGAATTACCATTTTAAGCCATTTTGAGACCAAGTCGTACAAACTAATTCACCTTTATTAAAGCTAAAATACTCCCATGCTGACTATCTAACCTGGTCCAGCTTTTACTGTGATGCGATTGTCTGCAGGTCATCCGCTGCATGTAATAATAACCTCGTCAGACATTACAAGTTCAAATGCCAGCCCGTGCATCGGAAATACTTTAAGCATGCCTTCATTATTCCAGTAGTTACATTTTTATCCACATTATATTTCATGAGAATCTCACATCTGATTCCTAGTCTTTCTTTTCCTCCCCTGTTGTCCCACTCAGGCCAAGAGCTTCTTATGTTTTTGTGACAGAGGTTGCGGGCACTCATGAACATGTGTTTCTAAAGTAAAAGACTGTATATAAAAAATATAGCATCAACAGTGTCAGAGAAAACAAAAGGAAAGCCATCAGCTAAAGGTCGCAAGGAAAATGATGAACACGGGGAATTTCCCCAAGCCTCCACCACCTGTGCTGTCATACGCAGTACAGAAGCACATATGGGGCTTGATAAAAAATGCACTGCCAAGTGAACGAGAGAGAGTACCGCTGACACTGCCTCCATCTATCTGAAGCCATGGTTGTTTCCATGGCGGCGGCAACGATGACTTCTTGGCAGTACACTAATGATGACAAGGAGCTACATTGTGGGTTCAGCAGGAGTTTATGGAGCTTCTACACAGAGATGGAGGGAGACGTGTGGAAGAGACGGGGCTGTTATATCTGAAGTAGATTTAAACCACAACCAACTGCTGCACCATAACAGGGAAGTATCCACCAAAGTGGAATTATCAGGCGAACGAGAGTAGATTTTCACACAGCTTGCTTATGAATGCACGTCATACACCCTGTCAACAACATCGCAGACTCAACGAAACTAAAAACTAAGGATTCATAAAGTGTTTTCTCAGCTTTAATAAATTTGACCTGCATACAGTGTGAAAATAATCAAACATGACACTGCAGGCTAAACTGTTTAGGTTATTCTTTTTGCAATCTGAGTTTATTTCAATCTGCTGTAAAAGCTGCAGTATGTGATTAAAGAGTGAGGTAAACAGTGTCTCATGGGAACCGCTGACATGACTGCACTGATGACAACTTTATTACTTTCCCCACAAATGGTATCCATGTACTTCTTTTTTTTTTCTTTTTTTAAATAGATGCCTGAAAATGGTCATCAAAAATAAGACTGGACTCCTCTTTGGAGACTACGGGAGACTACACAGGAGACAACCGTGTGAGACCTCCGGGCTTTACTGCAGAGCTAAGATTCCTCTATTTGTGAGGGGTTTATAAAACATTCAGGACAAACAGACCTGTTGAACAGCAACTGTAATGAGACCTGACAGGCTCAGCACTTCTGCATTTTCCACCATAAAAAGGCATGCAGATTCAGAAAACACAGATTAGGTAGCTTTGTCAATGCAAACAAGAACAGTATTGAGTCAGTACAATGCTAATGCTATCAGTATAATGGGATCAATAGCCTGATCGCCCTAAGGAGACAAAGGCAAGGGCCCTGCTCAATAAAACCAATAAATCCAGAATGAAATTCATTTAACGGCAAAAAAGGGAGGAATTCAAGAAATTTCAATCTGCCTGCGGTCTGTATTTCAATGTGTCTGTAGCACTCTAATCAGGCAGCCAAGAACATGTTACAACAATCTAATGGATGAGTGGAACTGTAGGTTTTTACTCTGGAAGCAGTCCGTGACTTGAATCCACTAATCCCCGTCTCAAAGGTGATCAGAGCACAAGAAGCTGAAAAAGAAGTAGCCTTTCACTGGAGATTAACGCAAGTAGAGTACATCTTAAATACATAAACATTCACCAGATGCTGTCTAATACATGCTTTACACTAGAGCATGTATTAGATATGACAATATAATTGACACTAGACCAAATACTTTACAACTCCACAACCCTATTAGTGCAAAAAAACAACAAACAAACAAACAAAAAAAACAAAACATCAATGTATTTTCACTTAAACGAGCAGCTGTTTTTTATGTGCATTAAAGGTATATAAAAATTTAACAGTGCAAATGCAAATTC